AACGAATTGCTGGCATCCGAGCTGGTCCTCTCTGGGGTGCTATGACCATCCATCCTTGGCTGCTATAGACTAAGGGGCTACTTCACACAAGACACGGGAGTCCAGACCCAGGGACGCACAACGGGAAGGAAATCTTTTGCTACATTTCACAAGTGACAGCGGGGACACACTTACCTCATGAGAGGGAAAACATCGAGAGAGCCACAGTCCTACTACAATCGCTCTCTGAGAATGCACTGTCAGCGTAGAGAGTATGCATGGGTGGTTGACAGTGACCCTGCCTTCCTGCGCTGAGGATGGAGGCGCTGTGCTTGTGACATTGACTGCAGTTCCTCTTTTTTTTTTTTGCTGTGCAGGCTCCTTTCAACCGCACGCTAAGTCCGTTTGGTGCAACGTGGGTTTCAGTTGCAGAGGTGGACTACTCTGTCTGCTGGCATGATCGGCGTGTGCTTGTATGCCTTTGTGCTTGACTGTGGCTGTGTAACTGGGGAGGGTGTGTGTGTGTGTGTGTGTAATATATATATATTTATATATATTCTTGCAATTCACTGTTTGGCAGTATGTGCACCAGTTTGGGAGTGACAGTGTAATATTGTGGCACCTGGCACTGGGCCACTCTCGCTGCTACTGTATTGGAGAACTTGGAGGGTTGGGTGGGACTCTGCAGACCCACAGACCCAACCCCAGCCCTGAGACAGGATGTCCTGTTCCTAAAGCCAGCGCCCCACCAGCTTAGCATGTTCTATGGCTGAGTAGTTTGGGGTGTGCCAGGACCAGCTGGTTTTCCCAGAAACAGTCTTACTCCCCTTACGTTCCCCTTAGGACTCTATTAATTTTCAAGAACACAAGCACCTCAAGGAAAAATGGTGGGAGCCCAGGGAACAACTGACACCACTGTGTTTTTCATTATTGGTGACAAAATGTCATGAGATCAATGCTTCCTATGAATCTCAGTGATGTTCATGAGAGGAACACATCCAGATCTCATGTCTTGGGCCTCCTTTCACCTTCCAGTTCATTAAAATCATCTTCTTTGGTGTCTCCTTCGTGGGTTCTTCTTTTCCAACACTTTAAAACAGGTGTGAGAACTGCCACCAGGTCTCTCTTTGTCCAACAACTACCTTTTATTTTTCTTGGGGCTAAGCAGCCTCAGTTCCTTCAGCATCTTGATGTATAAATTGCCTCTTCCAGACCTTTGATCATCCTTGCTGCTGCCTTCTGCATCTTTCTCAATTTGTCAAGCTCCTGTTCCTACTAAGAGGCTCAAATGAAGTGCAACGCTTCAAACAAGGCCCTGCGAACAGGCATCGCTTGGCTCCAGAACGGCACAAGGAGAGAATCTGATTACTAAGTCTGACTGATGGCCTATCTAGCCCAGGGAGTCCTGTCTGAGAGGCAGAAACTGTGTGGAAATTTGGTTCCCCTTCTGCACTGAGGCAAGTTTAAATTGGCAATCTGTTGAAGGTTCACAGATGGAAGAATCCAGTATTCGCTTGGCAGTCTTGTTGTTTCTAGTCTTCTAACCAGAAAGAGCAGGAACTCAGGCGAGTCTCGTCCTTCTTCTCCTCCAGAATCCTACTAAGCTTGGCCGACTTTGGCAAGCAGACCTCAAACCAGCATTAAGCATCAAATGAGGCCTGCCCCCTACTCCGAATGGCTACATTTGCAATCAAAGCATTACTCTGGGAAATGAGAATTTTAAATCCACCTCCCTCCCTGCAATGCTCCATTAAGAGCAATTTAGAAAATATAAAACAGTAGATTAATTGGAGCTGCTCCTCATCAAGGCCCAGAATCTGAAGTCCACCAACTTAAGGAGGATCCATTTAGTGAATTCCCACCTCCAAATCTGGAGAAACCCCTATCTTCAGACATAGCTTACTCTTTTGAACTGCCTTCTTCCAATTACATGGGCCAGAAATATTAAGAAAGTTCAGGATATCTAAATCTGGGCCTGACACCGAATACAATACTGAGCCTGCCTAGAATTGCGTACAGATATGCTCAAACATAGTGAAAGAGGAGTTGGGCAGATCCAATGCCTGTGGCTGGGGGAGAGGGGGCAGGGACAGGGGATGACAACTTCTGAAATAAAGATAAAACTGACTCCCCCTCCCCCACCTCCACACAAGTTTTTCCTTGGCAGAATCTCTGATTGCCCTATTTATGGAAATGGAAACCGAGAGCTTGGAATAAACCTCAAAAATGGATGTGCTCATTTCATGAGCGAGGTGTTAAAAGAAGGGCCATACCAAATGACCAAAAATAGGGCTGATAAGGAAGGTAATATTAGCACAAAATGAATGCAAAGAAAGAAGATGTTGAATATTTCTTCTGCTTATGTCTGTGAATTTCCTGCCCGAACGATCTCCAAAAGCAAAAACCTTTCCTCCTAACAGATTTTTATCAGGTTATCAGGAAAAAATGGACCGCTAATAAATTACTTTGGTGACAACGATGCTTGGGCTAGAAAGGAGCTCTCCCCACTCAAAAGTTCTCCTCTGCCATTCTTTATAGTCCCTGCTTGATGTCCTTGTCTGGCCTGTTCCATTTGAGGACTTGGTGGAGGGGGAGAGATGGTTCATACCACCTTGGCAGACACTTCTGAATGACTAGTCCTTTGTCCTTATGACAGCCCAAAATGAACAGAAAAGTTGAGGATCCTTGATTTATTTTACAGAAATCTGGCAGTGACCTGATGACACCATCCAATCTCATTTCTCCCTGAACTTGATTAGGATTCATGCTACATGCTAGAGAAAAGTTCTAAATAACACTGGAAGCAAAGAATAACATTGCTTTTTGTAGCACTTTCAATCCTCGCTGATTCCTGGATTATTGTCATTCCACACTTCCTCCTATCATACCTACTTATCATTCACACTGCAGTTTTCCAGACATTTAATTTAAATTCTCACTCCTTGAGAAAATGCAACAATGGCAGCTAATCACATCTGTTGTAGTAGGTTCCACCAATCAACGACGGCACACATTTCTCTAAAATCCCGGAGCTTTCTTAGTTGTGTCTGTTACATTTGGCACCCGAAGTCAGATTTCATGCCTGTTTATTTCCAGGAGTTCTATCAAGATCTTGGGATTTGAAGACACATTTCCATTCCTCTGAGCACTCTTAAATATAGATAGTCCTTGACTTACTGACTGTTCAAAGTTACAACAGCACTGAAAAAAGTGACTTATGACCGGTCCTCTCACTTATGACTGTTGCAGCCTCTCCATAGCCATTTGATTAAAACTTGCCTCCGTGTATTTTTGACCGTTGCAGCATGCTGGAGTCATATAATCACCATTTGCGACGGCTTCTGATGAACGAAGTCAATGGGGGGAGGGGAAGCTGGTTTCACTTAATGACTGTATGATTCACTTAACAACTGCTGTGATTCGCTTAGCAAAAAGATCATAAAACTGGATGCAGCTTCCTTAACAACTGCCTTGCTTAGCCACAGAAATTCTAGTGTCCCAATTGTGGTCCTTAATCGAGGACTACCTGCACGGTGATTTTGTGCCCCTTTCGTAGGGGAAGAAGCACGAGAAACGTCTGCAGGAGCAGCAGCCCGCTCAGTTTCCCGCACAAAGGTGCAGAACCATGCCTTGGCAAGCAAGGGACGGTGGGGGTAAGTCATACAATTCCGTGCACATCTTCCGTTTCTGGGCTCCCCCGGTGTTCTCAGAGAAACCCTGCGTAATTAGCTTAAGAGAGTAGATGGAAATGACTGTATCCAGCATTTTATCTATTGCATCAGATCTTTCTTCTATTGGCTTTGTTTGGCTTTGAAGCGCTGTGCCCTCTCAGTCAATTGAAGAGCATCCTCATCCTGTTTTCTACCATTTCCTATAATCACTCTCTTAGCTGGGAGGGAGCATCAGTGCACTGGTGGATACGTGGTTCAGGTTTGTGAAAAGAGACCCTTTCGGATATGAGTCAGTTGGGATGCACTGAAGTGCGGGGCCGCGATTGTTTCATTTACTTATTTACGTCCATCGCAGCACACAAACGGATGAGTCTGCATGTCTCTGCCTATGAGGTGGTGTTTGTTTGCCGTGGGTTGCTATCTCCCTAACGATGGGGGCCGATGGCTGCGATTTTTATATATGCGATGGAGGAAGGGAAGAAATAAAGGGTAAGCACAAGAAGAGCAAAGAAAGTGAGACGGGAGAAGAGGAAAATGTGCAGGAAAAAATATCACAGTTTTCTGTTTGAACAAAGTCACAGTTTTGTCTCCTAACATCCTTTCCCACCGCAAGGTCCAAACAGTAGCGTGGAGGGGGCCCTCCACCACCCACCCCCTGCCCTGGAGCCTGATGGCACTGGCTGCTCCAGCTGCCAATCTGCGGGAGGACAGGGAGTCGACCCCACCTGCTGGGACCCTTACTCGGTGCTTGTTCAAAGAGGAGCAGCCCTGCTGTTGCAGTAGCCCACTGCCACCGACCAGAGGACCCCACCCCACCGATGTGCCACAGAGTGGCAGGAAAGCCCTTTTTCTGGATATAAAAGGTCTGTTATGGAAACGCAGGTGGGAACAGCTCCCCTGTACCCCCACCCCCCCGCTGCAAATTGGCTGGTGCAAGGGATTGGGTGTTTTGTCAGGGGGGGCTATTCTGGTGGCACTTGGGGTAGCAGTAGCAGAGTGTTGCCCCTCTCTCTGAGATGTTATCTCTGTTCTCCCTTCTAGGTTTTTCTTTCTTTTTTCTTTTAATGAGAATATTAGTGGTTCCAGTCCCCACTGTGGTTTTATCTGTGATACTCTTTTGGTTGAACAATTCCCCCCCTCTGTGGCAGGGAGATATGACACTATGTCATCTCTTCTTGGTTGGCATCCTGGCAGCATGCCCTTGGTGGGTTCATTGGTGGCCCTGATCTGCATCCCCTGCTCCGTGGCCATCTTCGTGGTATTGCCTTTGTTCTTTGAGTTGGGCCACGGTGCCATCTCCACCTTCTGAGTCTCAATCACAATTCAGTCTTTTTTCCTCTTATTTCATCTTAAATGTCTTTCTCTACCCCTCCCCCATGCCCGCCCCACCTGGCGCTGGTCATACCTCGGACTCCAGACTGGAGAAATGGGCCGAACCACGCCTGGCAAAAAGCTCCCCGCTTCGACTCACCCGGCGTGGCAGCCACTCCGGAGAGAAGCCACCCTGGTGTCGATGAGAAGCCCCACAGCGCATCATGTGGCAGGAACTGAGGTCCTCCAGACTACGGGAGGTCGGGTGGAGGACTCCACCACCTGGCCCCATCTCACAAGAATGATGGTGACAGCGTCGGTGGAAGCCATGGCGATGCCGAGGAACCAGGCAGCTGTAGTGGCTACAGTGTCGATGCTCCCAGTCCAGCCGGCGTTCCAAATGCTCTTCTGAACAGCTCAAATAATGCAAGGCTTCCTTGCGGCACGGCGGAGTGGGTGGCGGGAGCATTTCTAGGCTCAGGCAGTGCTGGCAAGGACCGTGACACCCGTGGCATTTGGCCAACTTGTCGGCCGACCAGTAGTGCAGAGGCTTGTGCGTGGCGAACAGCTGCCTCTCTCGGGAGGGGTAGGTGCAGAAATAATCTGGCGACTGGTACCAGCAGCTGTGGCCATCACTATCCCTCTCACAGATGTCAGAATCAGAGTCTGAAAAGTCCACATAATGACTTTGGCTGCGCAAACTGGCACCGACGGCAAGTGGGTGGGAATGGCTGCGGCAGATGTGAGCCCGGGAGCTCCTCTCGCGGCTTGATGTGGTTGGGCATTTCGCTTCTGGCTCAGCTCTTGGCAGAGATGCCTCCTCAGCATGTCGGTAATGGGGGACCGGTGGGGAACGTTCATCCTCGTAGGACAGCCGGGTGTAGCCGTAGCGATTTCGCTCTTTCCCGAAAGACCGGGAAGTGCTCCTTTCCAACTCACAGGGGCTTTTGGTGGGATAACTGCTTGAAGGACCATCATATTTTTTCACCTCAGAAGTTCGGCCAGCTGCCTTTCCTGCTTGGAAACTTTCATACAAACCCCGGAGAGATTTGCGTTGCCAACCGGATGCCACTGGTGGCATATTTGGAGAATCTTTTTCTCTCACTATAGCAAAGTAGGACGGAGGGTTTTCCAGCCCGCGGGAAGGCTGTGGGGGGGAGAGCTGACAGGGTGCCATTTTTTTGCTACTGACATGATCTGAAAGCCCTTCGGGTTCAATGGGGCCATAGAACCGGTGGAAGCCATCCGAGAAAGGACTCTTGAGGGCGTGGCGTGGCGGTTTAGTGGTAGGGAGTTCTGCAGGTGTAGGGGGGTACAAATCCTTGTAGCAGTTGGGGCTACGGGCATGACGCCACCGTTCCACGATGCGCCGTTCACGAGGCAGGAAGCTGGAACAAGGGAGTGGAGGCCCAGGTGGACTGGGCAGAGCTGGGGGTACACCTCGTGATGGTCCGTAGGTGTGATTTAGGATGGGCAACTGCTGCTGGTCTGGTATTTTGGGGTCTTCACTGCTACAACAACTATACATGCCCTGGAAGAAATGGGAGAAATATATATAAATAAATATATATATATATATATAATAAGTTCCTCAACTATAGCTGTTTTTTACCTGTAGCAAGCATACACTTTCTATAGTGTAGAAAATGCACTGGAAAAATTGAACAAGATAGTGGTCGCTGAAATGACACCTGGGCAGGTAGGACAATTAAATTCAGGTGTCCTCAATTTATGACTACAATTAAGATCAGAATTACATTCATAAGTCATAGTGGTTATTAAAGCAGATCACAACCTGACAGTTCCTGATTTTATAACCATTTTTTGCAGCAGTCTTTAAGCAAACCCATTGTACCCAATTGGCATTTTTTCAGAAAATTGGAAATAAACATCAGTTTCCAGCAAAAAAAACATTGTAAATTGCAGTCAGGTGACTATGAGATGTTACAAACAGTCTTAAATATTGACCAGTTGTTAATGTAATCACATGGTCATGGGGGTGGATGTCTGTCTTAACTTTGAACAGTCATTAAATAAACAATCATAAGTAACAGAATAACAAAGTTGGAAGGGACCTTGGAGATCTTCTAGTCCAACCTTCTGCTCAAGCAGGAAAGCCTATACCATTTCAGACAAATAGTTTTCCAATCTCTTCTTTAAAACTATCTATATTACCAAGAAAGTTTGAAGTTGAGTTCCCAGCATAATCTTTGAATAGGTTGGAAAAACATCTGCCTTCACAGTGATTGCCGATATCCAAGCTAGCTGAGCCGAGGATCTAACTCAAGTTAAGACACTTTTTTAATTTATCTGCAATAATTCTTGACATATAACAATAATAATGACAATATAAATCACTGCTTCCCACTTTTACACAATTATCTTCTTGTAAATGCAATTTAAGAATTTCAGTGAGGTACAAGTGACTCTTCTCACTGACCATATCACTTCTTCCCCATCTGTCCATTTCCTATGTCATCTCCGTCAACCAACAGCTTTACTCTGAGCACAGTAATCCAATATCAAATTCCTCAGCCAATTTATCTTTTTTGAGTCTTTATATCAAATCCCCAGTTTGACAAGCGTCATCCTAATGAACCCTTGCATAACATACCTAGTCAAGATGTATCAAGCCAGCACTATGAATTCTAAAAGAATTGGAATTCTTTATCTGGTCAGCCCTATAAAGTAGACCAGACTAAGAAGCTGCAGGCTTCTGTAGGCCTAGATCTACTTTTATTAGAATAGCTATAGTTCTTGTACTTCCCTTTTATCTTCATATGAATTTGGAGAGAGGGATTCCGAGGCATTTTTTAAGTACCGGTAGTCCTCGACTTAACGATAGTTCATTTAGTGGCTGTTTAAAGTTACAATGGCACTGAAAAATGTGACAGTTTTTTAGTTATGATTGTTGCTTCATCCCCATGGTCATGTGATCAAAATTTGGCCACGTGATCCTGGGCTCACATGATCCCCTTTTGTGATCTTCTGATAAGCAGAGTCAATGGGAAACCAGATTCATTGAAGAACCTTGTTACTTACTTAACAACGGCAGTGATTCACTTAACAACCGTAGCAAAAAAGATCATAAAATGGGGCAAAATTCATTTAACAAATGTCTCACTCAGCAACATAAATTTTGGGCTCAATTGTGGTCATAGGTCCAGGACTACCTGTTATCTTATTTTGTATAGATTAGTCCTTGACTTACAAACAATCACTTAGCAAAGTACCAACAAATCTCCCCAGCTCAGTTCCAGAGCTACGATGACCTGTGGCCCCCACATGACCACATTTGGGATGCTTGGCAACTGGACTGCATGTTTTGGCCATTTGCCAGTGATATGAAAGTGTTTTACAATGTTCTTGCTGAAAACTGGAAGGAAATACAAGTTTTTGCCAAAACCAGCCCAGAGTGAAAATGTGGTTCACTTAACAACATGGTATTGCTTAATGACCAATGTAAAGCAAGGTCATTAAATCAGGTGGTCATGCTTTACCATTGTCATGACTTACAACTGTAATGGGAAAGTTCTGTTACAGTCATAAGTGAAGGACTGCCCATATGGGCTCCAACCAATTTGATTGTCAAATTGGGTCTTCCCTCTGTCTGTATGTCAGTTTTCTTAACCTTGGCAAGTTTAAGACGGGTGCATTTTAACTCCCAGAATTCCCAAGCCAGATCTGCTAGAAATCTCTACAAGTTCCCATCTTCTCTCTTAACTCAGTTATAGGAACACCAATGTAAAACCCTTCCACCCTGAAGCTAAGAAACACCATTTTCCCGTACAAACAGCCTTCTGCTACTGATAGAGACCATTTCCTCATGTTGTTGAAGTTGCCCTTTAGTATAGACAAATGATTGCAGAGAAAGATCACCAGGCTAATGAACAGAGAGAAGCAGAGAGGAAGAATAGCAGAAAGGAGGGTAAGGTAAGGAAGAAATCCAATTAGACAGTTAAGATTACAAGAGATAAGGACAGCAAGCAGAGAAATCAAATGGGAGATCGGATTTCTGCCACGTGGATAAATGGGCTCTTTCCCACCATTTTTAAACTTAATTTCAGTACTAGACAACAGTAACTTTAATTGGTTTTATAAAGCGATTGACATATGCAAAAAAAAAAAAAAAACTACAGACGGCCCTCGATTTACAACTACAGCTGGAAGTGGACGTAAGTCATGCCTGATTTTACAACTTTTTGGACTATGGGTCGTTATACGACTCCAGCTTCCCCCATTGTCTGCTTTTTGGAAGCCCCTGGGAAGATTACAAATAGTGATCACATGACCCCAGGACTCTGCAACTGTCATAAATTCATGCCAGTTGCCAAGCACCCTGCAATGGTCATAAGTGTGAAAAACAGTCAAGAGTCACTTTTTTCAATACCACTGTAACTTCGAACAGCCACTAAATGAATGGTTGTAAGTCAAGGACTACCTGTTGCTCCTCCACAACCACATCAAAGCTTGAGGCCGCCTAGGCTTCCTTTAGTGGTCTTTGTAAAAGCTCAAAACTAGGTTTCAAAATCAAATCGATAGCTTCTATTCCATGGGCTGTCAGACCCTTAAACACAAGCACAATCACTCCATGCACATGTGGAAACGTATGACCAGTTTTTATTTTCTTTCTTTTTCTTTTTCTAATGACTTGCATAGGGATTATTCTTTATACCATTTATGTTGTTTGTATTTGTTGTCATGGATTGCACCAGTGAGGCTAAAACCAATTTCACTGTATACATGATGTACAATAACAATAAAGGCTATACTATACTTTTCTCCTTGTCCCCAACTTTTTAGAAATTAATCACCAGTAATCTAGATTTCCCTTTTTTTAAAAAAAAAAAAATATAGCCATGGAGTTGTAGGATGCAGGCTAACATCACATTAACATTTGATTGATGCATTTCTTCCTCTGCTCCCCATTTCTGGGAGCAAATCTGCCTTCTCCCAGTGTGTTACTACATTTGATAGACGTACAAATCAGCACGTCGCCACCTCCAGTTCTTTAGGCAAGCCAGCCAATTTCCCCCCCCCCTCAAGTTGATTGAAAACAGATTTATTCGACAGCATGCTAATCATCCCCTTAATTTAAAAAGAAGTGCAAATTTTTTAAAATGCCGAGAAGTGGGGTTGTTTTTTTCTTACGTTAAAGGTGCTAACAACTGAGTTAGGTTTGCAAGTTAATTTTTTAGCTTGCAAACACAGATGACTACAGCCAGTTTTCCTTAGAAAAGAGATGTCCTTTTGCCACCAAAACATGTTGTGTAGGCTTCAAAAGTGAGACTATTACTCAATTTGTGTACATCTGTAGACATGCCTAGGTAAAGATGGGATCAAGAAAGATAGAAGAAGGAATGCATGACCTAAAAATAGCTGATTCTCATCTCAAGTAGCTAGCTTCCATGTTCTGTACAAATGATATACAACAAGCAAACCTGAGTAAGTTGATTTCCTTTGCATAATTTAGTTTTAGGTAATGTCAGACCCAACACTTGCGCTTTCAATCTTGGTGAGCTCCTTGCCCTTGTTTATGAGATTTCTTATCCCACTGTCTATATACATACACATCCTCCCAAGCCTCCAGAAACCTATGGGTTTTTTAACCCATAAAATTCTGAAACTGCTGATTTCTGTATCCATTTCTCCTTGGAATATTTGAGCAATGCAATCATAGAATTCCTGCAACTCTAGATAAAGGGAGAGAAGTAAGAGAAGCTAGGAAGAAGTCTGCAGAAGGAAGCGAACAGCTTTGGGGTATATATGGGAATCGCATACTCTTTTAAAAACTCACCCTGCTGAAGGCGAGTAGGAAGTCCAGCCGGCCCGTGTGCCTCATGCAATGGCGCAGTTTCCAGTAGATGAGATGTTCCCAGGCAAAGACCAGCAGGCTCAGCCCCATGGCTACCAAAAGCATGTAGAAGACCCCTGCCATGTTGTCTATATCCAGTTTACTGCTCATCACCTCTATTTTGTCATTGTGGCAAATCCCTGACAGCCACAGGCGCTCCAGGAGCTCAATCTCATCTGAAACAAAGAAGGGCAGTGGTAGAAAACATTTGGGTGTCATCCCTTTGAGGTGGCACAGAAGCACCAGCTGTTTTGAGTACTACTTCTTCCTTTATTGTAAAGTTAGAGCAAAAGACTCAAGCCTGAAAGTATCTCTCCAATCCTATACATTTATTCTACTGAAAACTAGGGACGGTCCCTTCTGAGATACTTTTCTCCAGTCTCCTCTTTCAGAATCAGACTTTTGTTTATCAGGCTGGCTGTTGTCTAGTCTGCAGCTCTTCCTCTTGTCTCCCAAAGTCACTGTCACATACCATTATAATAGACTTACGTAGATGACCTTCTCCCCTGTCCTTTCCTTCCATAAAATGCAAATCCTCTTGTTCTGGACAGAAATTGATTGCCAAGGCCTGAAATGACCAAGTAGCAGTGACTGTCTCACATAAGCCTTCCTTAAGCACGTGCCCTTTAATTGCATTATAGCAGTATAGGTAGCCCTTGACTTATGACCACAACTGAGCCCAAAATTTGTGTTGTTAAGTGAGACATTTGTTAAGTGTTTTGCCCCATTTTATGACTTTTCTTGCCACAGTTTGTTTGTTTAGCAATAGCAATAGCAGTTAGACTTATATACCACTTCATAGGGCTTTCAGCCCTCTCTAAGAGGTTTACAGAGTCAGCATATTGCCCCCAACAACAATCCGGGTCCTCATTTTACCCACCTCGGAAGGATGGAAGGCTGAGTCAACCCTGAGCCGGTGAGATTTGAACAGCCGAACTGCAGAACTGCAGTCAGCTGAAGTAGCCTGCAGTGCTGCATTTAACCACTGTGCCACCTCGGCTCCTAAATTGTTTGTTTGTTTATGAGATTTATATTGCTGCCTATTCGCAAATGGCAACTCATAGCAGCTTACAAGAATATAAAAACATCATATCAAGGGAATAATTGCAGTTGATAAGTTAGTAACCCGGTTGTCAAGTGAATATGGCTTCCCCAAATATGAACTTGCTTGTGAGAAGTTCGCAAAAGGGGATCACACGACTTTAGGACACAGCAATGGTCATAAGTATGAACTGGCTGCCAAGCCTTTGAATTTTGATTACATGATCATGGGGATGCTGCAAAGGTTGTAGCTGGGAAAAATAAGTCATAAGTCATTTTTTTCAGTGCCGTTGTAACTTTGAACAGTCTGAATGAACTGTTGTAAATTGAGAACTATATAGGATGGCTAGAGAAATCTGCCAGGGGTATTCACAAACACAACTGGGAAAGCTGACTTGGGACCACAGCAATATTGGAAGGCCCTTCCACAGGATCACATTTTCACTCCTCAAACTTTCACTCACTCTTAACACTGCCCAGTAATTCTTCTCTCTGCTCTCAACCTCAGTAGCAAATAGCGTCATATGAGGGAATCCCAATGTTTGAACAGAGAAGCTGGCATCCAATCAGTGTCAGGCTTCCCATCAAACTTTAAAGTTCTGCCTATTTATTTAATGATGTCTAAATAGCCAGCGTAACCATGGCAAAGACAAGCAAAGGACTTCCATGGTGCTTCGGTACTGGAAGCTTGCCAGGGGTGTTAGGGAGTTGGAATGAAATGATAATTCCCACCCATGGAAAACTTCACCCATGGAAAACTTGAAGCTTAGACATGGTGCAAAATTGAGGTGGCAGAGCCAGAAGTTGTTTATCTCTGCTGGTTAACAAAGTAATTGGTGTATGACCACAGAAGTTACAGGTAGTCATCGACATACAACCAAAACTGAGCCCAAAATTTCCGTTGCTAAGCAAAACAGTTGTTAAGTGAATTTTGCTCTTTTTATGACTTTTCTAGCCACAGTTGTTAAACGAACCTGTACAATTGGTAAGTTAATAGCCTGGTTAAGTGAATCTGGTTTATTGACTTTGTTTGTCAGAAGATCACAAAAGGTGATCACATGACCCTGGGATGCTGCAACTGTTGTTAATACATGCCAGTTGCCAAGCATCTAAATTTTGATCCTGCTGCAATGGTGTGAAAAATGGCCATAAGTCACTTTTTTCAATGCCGTTATAACTTGAGGACTAATTGGATTGAATATGTGGAAATGAGACAAATGCTGAGAGTAAAAGGAGAAAGGAGGCCACTAAGGGGCCCCTTTCCATAAACAATTATTTAGGATCTTCAAAAATAGATTTTCATCGGCTATAATGATTTTGAGCCTGCAGCACTAAAAAAAATGCAAGTATCATGAATGTTTGAGAAGTGAAGATAAAAACCTAGTTTTCATTTTTAAACTGGAATAAAGCTGAATTTTGCTAGCTGAAGGTGAAGCAGCCAGTGCCTTGTTTCCCTCTTCAGTACAAGATCGTTGCATTTGCAGCTTCCTGCAGGAATATCCATTTGCTTCTATTACACTCTACTTGTAAATCAAATTGATATTACCAGTTGTATTTCATCTGAAAGAAACTAAACATGGACTTCTCAGTGCAGAAGAAAAATGCAGTCTTATATTTGGCAATCTTGGTTGCAAATGTAAATGAATAATTACTGTGTGTTAAATGAAACTAATCAGTGCTAACTAAAGTTTAGAATCAATGCATGGAAAACAGAAGATGTTAACAAAAATATAAAAACAAAAGATCAAGTAGAACTGATAAAGTTTAATATTGAGAAAAAGTAAAATACTTGGAGTATTACTGGGACTGTATATTATTTCAAAATAAATAGTGTTCATGCATGGAATGAAATTAAGAAGAACATCTTAAGATGGTTAAAATTAAATTGTCATTGTTGATGGGAATTTTATAAGCAAAATCAATGTTTTGCCTAGAATGTTTTTGCTTCAGACTACACCTGTTTTGATAACTGATATGCTATTCAGGCAATGACAAAAATATATATCTAAATTTGTATGCAAGGGGGAAAAACACAATTTAAATACAAAGTGCTAACATGACACAAAGGAAAGAAGAGGATTTGGTTTCCCAGTTTTGAAATTGTATTTTGAAGCTTTTGTTTGTTTGTTTGTTTATATGAGAGAATGGGTGCTGCTGAGAAAGAAAAGATTTTTAGAGTTAGAAACACATGACGTAAGGTATGGATGGCATGTATATTTATGCTACAATAAAGTTAATGTGGATTTTAAAAATCATTTCATTTGAAAAGTCATACTGAGAATATGGAATAGATATAAACCAAGACTGTGCCCCCCAAAAGATCTCTATGGATCTCAGCACAAAAAATAATTTATCTACTTGTCTTTACAAACAAAGACAAATAGTTAACATACTAGAAATTATGGGAGAGTCAGCAAGGGGAATTTAACATTAAATCAAGTGAGCAACTAATGAAGTAGGATATAGTTGTCAGTGGTTTTCCTTTTTACAGTTATTAGAAAGATTTAAAACAGATAGAAAGACATGGTATAAAGAAAAGGAAGACAGAATTTGAAGTGCAATTGTGTACCGACGATGAACATGTAATTGCTAAAACATGTACAATTTTCTTGAAATCTGAAATGGAAGAAAAGCAGGTTAAAGAAGGCATCTTAAAGTGGGCTAATAATATACAGATGAATCCATCTATCAATATATGGTCAAAAAGGTTGAAATTTACATTGTTATGATCTTAAGGATAATTTTTATAAAAATGATGTATTATGGGTACATGACACCAGAGAAATTATCTAGAAGGTATAAAAGCATTTCAAATATATGGAAATGTGAACAACTTGAAGGCACATTTTATCATGCCTGAGAGATATGTAAAAGAACTAAAAAATGATTTCAGTATGTACAGAGGATTTTAGACATTCAACTGAAACCAGAACCTTTCCTTATGAGACTGATAAAGGATAAATGGTTTAAAAAGAGCCATGGAAGATTATTTCAATATATGATTACTATGGCAATTATCATATGTACAAAGTGGAAAGTTTCAGCATTACCCATCATGGAGAAACATCAGATGAAATTGACAGAATTTGCTGAGATGACTAAATTGGCTTCTTTGATTACAGAAAGGTCATTATTGACATTCATCAACCACTGGAAACCTATTATGGATTTTTTTTTGCGTAAAAAAGAAAATGATTTTGTGACTTATGGTTTAGATGATTAAAAAGAATAATGATTATGATGAAATCTTAGAGAGAGATTTGATTAGAATTGTATGTATTACTCTGAGAAGAAAATTGGAAGCCATTTTTAATATCTCTTTTCATGTTTTATTTTCCATTTCCTTTTTTCTTTGTCTCTTCTTTTCTTCTTTTCTTTTCTTCCTCTTTCACATTTGCTATATCTTTTTTCTTTCAATATACTTCTTACTATATATATAAGACCTATTAATAAAAAAGTATTTAAAAAAGAATGTGTGCACTGAGAAATAGCATTACACCCCATTTCTAGCTGAGGACAAGAAATATTTTCTTATCACAATAATGCTGCTTAATCCAATTTGATGGCAGACAGATGATGTAGATTGCTGTCTGTCAATCTGAGAAGAGAACGTGCCCCATGCATAAGCCTTGAACTTAAAATTTTAGGAATTATTGTAAATATAGGTCTTAGACATAGATACCAGATACTCCACAGCAGAAGATATTACCAATTTAGGCTATACAGTTTGAGAAATGGCTGCATGGAGATTTGGCTCCAAAGGGCAACATATGATTTAGAGCAAGGGTGTCAAACTCAAGGCCCATGGCCTGGATCCGGCCTGTGAGGCAGGCCTGGAAACAGCAAAGGGCTGACCTGCAGTGCCTCTGCCAGCCAAAACAGAGCTAAGGGGAGAGCCGAGGTGGCCCAGTGGCTAGGGTGCAGTACTGCAGGCCACTTCAGCTGACTGTTATCTGCAGTTCA